AGCACCCCCCAGCCACGGCACTGCGCTCCTCGCTGCCCGCCAGCCCAGCTCAGAGGGTGGCAGGTCCATCCGTCACCAAAGCCCTGTCCCTTGAAAGGGGTTTGAACCTGGAGAGCAACAAAGCTTCAGCCCAGGGTCTCAGACCCACCAAAACAGCCTCTCTGGAGAGGAATGTGGAGCCTTCCCTGGCACTGGACTGGGAGCAGGTAGCCGCACCGGGGAGCAGTCCTGGCACGGAGACCTCCTTGGAGATGCCCAGGAAGAGGAGCATGCAGCCTTGCTCACCCATCAACAACAAACTCATCCAGGAGCTTAACAGCGTCATCCTCAGGAAAAATGAGGGCCAGCCACCAGAGCCGGGCCAGCCAGTGACGTGACCCACCGCGCCAAAGGGACAGCCACCAACCTGGGGGTCAAGTCGCGCCTGGTGGCAGTGAAAATGGGTACTGCGTGCTGCCACATCACGGAGCCTGCACCCTCCTCCTGACCCCGGAGCTGGGAGGGAGACTAGGGAGGGCCAGGATGCTGAGCTGTGACACCCCCTCTTGGGAGGGCTGGGGATGCTGCCACATGTGCTCTCACTCATAGGCAGCATCCATCATCGGGTCCAGCACCAAAGGAAGCAAGTAAAGGGAAAATAAAAGCAGAAACAGGGTGCCTGTATGTTCCAGCAGTGTGGCACAGTGTCAGGCAGGGGGGCATGATGTCCCCTCTCCAGCACTGGGCCTGCGGGGCAGGGGCAGGACACCTAAGCCAGCCTCCCATCTACTATGGCATATTCTGGAGTGGGAGGTCAAACAGGAGCAGGGCTGGCCGTGTGTGCCTGGCACATGGTCCTGGCGATGGAGGGCAGCTCTGGCTCAACTTGTGTATTTATACCTGTTCCTTCTACTAGCAGGGAGAAATAAAGGTTTATTTGTAATCTGAAAGGTTTCGTCACTGCAGGAGGAGCGGTGAAGGGTGCTGGGGTCCAGCAAGCAAGGAGGTGGGGGTGCTGGGCCAGCCACACAGCTGGGAGACTCATGACTTGGGGACAGTGCTGGTATCATTGAAGGGACAAAGTCCTAATGAACCTCAGATCCAGGGCAGGATTTACTGCCAGCCTGGGATAGTGCAGCCCTTCATGCTGAGCATCAGACCCCTCCCTGGAGCTGGGGGACACAGCCCTGCACCCGCTAGCCCTGTCTACATCTGGCTCTGCTCAGTGGACCTCAGGGGCAAAGCTGCCTTCTCCGAGGCCCTCCCCACCTTTCGCCCCAGGCAGCAGCTCCCTGCATTCCGGACCCAGCTCCGAAAATCCCGGGACATGTAGAAGTAGATGAAGGGATCGAAGCAGTTGTTAAAGGCACTGAGGACCAGGGCCAGGGTGTATAAAATATAAGTGATGTTGTTGCATCCCTTGACCTCCAGGATGTAGTGCATGAAGAGCAGCACATTGCTGGGGGTGAAGCAGAGGACGAAGACTATGAGGACCAGGGCCAGGACACGTACCACCTGCCCATGGTGTCTTCCCTTGACCAGCAGCCGTGCCAGGATGCAGCTGTAGGAGATGGTCACAAGTATGAAGGGTAAGCCAAAGCCCAGTCCCACCAGGATGAGGAAATAATTGACGAGGGCCATGTGCTCCTCTTCTTCTAGGAAATCATGGCAAGTTGTGATGTTCAGGCTTGAGATATGCTTTGTCTGGGTGTGCAAAAGCAGAGGACTCATGCTCAGCCCCACCACCAGCCAGATGCCCACACAAATGCCTGCCTTGCCACATGTCCAACTGGAGCCCTTCCACAGGAATGGGTGCACCACAGAGATGTAGCGCTCCAGGCCAATGCAGGTAAGGAAGAGGATGGAGCTGTACATGTTACCATAGAAGAAGGCCATCATGGTGCGGCACAAGTACTCCCCAAAGAGCCAGTGATTGCCCAAGAAATGGTAGGAGATCTTGAAGGGCAGCACTAGGACAAAGAGCAGGTCAGCACTGGCCAGGTTGAGCAGGAACAGGGTGCTGGAACATCTGAAGTTGGTCACCAGGACCCAGCAGGCCAGAGCGTTGGCCGGCAGCCCCACAAGCAGGACCACAGAGTAGAGGGCAGGCAGGATGCGGGTGGTGAGGGTGCTGTTGAGAAAACCTTCCACGGAGGCGGTGGGACATGTGGCTTCTTCTTGGGGAGCAAGGGGGATCAAGACTCGCCCTTTGCCACGCACTGCAGAGGACACAAGGCATCAGGCTTAGCTGAGAGCTCCCTCCCACTGCCTCCTCCCACTCAGGACCATGCAGAAGCTGTCACCCCTCCCTGCAGAGCTACCAGCAAATGCAGGAGCTGCCATCTCTCCCTGCCCCATGGAAACCCATGCCAGGACAGGATCAGGATATGACCACCCATGCCAGGATAGAAGATGTTCTCCCACCTGGGGCTCTTGCGTCCTCCTCCTGCTTCTCCCAGCCAGCCACCCAACCCGGCCCCTCACCGCAGCCGGGGCTGCACATGCCTCTCTGTCTTCCTGTGGTCAGACGTTTTTCACTGAGTACTCAGAACAAAATCAAAGAACAGGAAGGTCCCGAGACACCAGACAAACAACCTCCGATCAAATCCCATTTCTGTCTTGCTCGAAAAACACAGCCAAGCTCTGCTCCCCTGCACATCAGCTCCAGCTGCAAAAACTCCATCCGGGACAAAAACTCCATCCCAGGACACCTAACCTTGGGGTCCCTGGCTGCATCCAACTGGTTGCCCTCTGCCACCTCTCTGTATCCAGGGGACAGGAGAAATCGAGGTGACCAGAGCCACAACCTATTTTCTCCTGCAAAAAGGGGAAGGGGTCATAGGATTTCATCTGTTCACGTCATTTCTTCATATGAACATCAGGGGAAGGTAGCAGAGCAGTGCCCCAATCTTTCACCTGATACCCGTCTGTCCCCTCCAAAAATCACAGGATAAGATGTTGGGATATCCCAGTGAGACCTCTCTGCCCTGTGCCATCACCCCCCAGACCCACCAAGGCACTTACTGGGGGAGGACTGGGTGGCTGAGCTGAGCCAGGCGCATCCGAACAGGAGGGTGATGATGGCAGCAGCAGAGCTGGATGAAGGCATCAGCCAGGACATCTCAGTGGGGTGGCCTCTGCGCGAGCTGGGTCTGCACAAATGCTAGAGGCAGGGCTGGCCC